ATATGTCACCCTAAAATTTGTTTCCCAACCTTATAGATGCCAAAACCAAGAGGAAATGTCTCAATACAACTTCTACTGGCACTGCTACTGATACTGCTGACAAGAGTAAGTGAAGACACACATCTCACATTTCTTAAGTGTTTACCAGGGGCTACCCTCTTCTAAGCACTTTACCTGTACTGAGTCATTTAATCCTCAGAATGACCATTACAAGTATTATCTGCATTTCACAGATGAAAGGATTGAGATAGAGAGAGCTTAAGTGGCTTGCCTGAGGTCAAAGAGCCAGGATTTCAACCCAGGTTGTCTGCCTGCAAGGCCTGCATAGTAACCAAATTTTATGGAATTCCCACAATGTCTGATGTGTTATCTTTTTTATCTTTGGTAAAGGGTCTGCTCAAATCTTTTGTGGTTTTTAAAAATTGGGGTGCTCCTCTTCTTGATATTCAGTGTCTGTGTGCTCTTCAAAGTTAAAACAATAACCCTTGAGAGTCGATTACCCAAAAGAAGGAAACAGGAGGAAACTGGAACGGCAACTTCAAAGAGCAGAAAGAAAGTAACTTCTAACCTAGAATTCTACATCCAGGGAAAATATCCTTCAGATATGAAAGTGAAATACAGACATTTTTAGACAAATTAAAAAAGAGAGAGAGAGAAAATTCATTGCTTAGATACCCACTTTAAAGGAAATATTAAAGACTGTCTTCCAGGCAGAAGGCAAATTTAGCCAGATAGAAACTTGGAGATGCAAGAAGAAATGAAGAAAAACAGAAAAGCTGAGCATATAGGTAAATTTAAATGAATATTAACTGTATAAAACTTTATAAAATAATGTCTTGGGGTATACACACAAGTGTGTGTGTGTGTCTGTGTACATATACACACACACACACACACACACAATCACTAAGCTTAGACCTAGGTAGGAGGTGCCCTCCCCTGGCCCTCACTCTGGTCTTCTTTCAGCCATACCCCATTCCACAGGGTAAGGAATCCGTGGGGCCGAGGGCACACGCCCACCTGGAGCCCATGTCACCCCATCTAGAGCACAGTTTGAGCACCTGGCATCTCAGAATTCCCCACTCAAATGGATCTGATCATACTTCCAGGCCTGTGTGTTCTTTCCCTGGCTCCGTCCTCCGAAAGGCAAACCATGCCGCCAGGGCACCCCCGAGCACCGAGGAGGGGGCAAGCAGAAGCTGTTTGCAGCAGGTTTCTACAGAGTTGGGGGGTCTTTGCCACGTGGGCATGAGCCCCCTCACAGCGGCGGGGGTGGAAGTGGGAAGAAGAGATGGAGGCGGGGAGAGAAGAGCAGCTGCGGACCACGAGCCGAGGCCAGCACTCCCGTGTTCCCGTATTCCAGCATGGAACTCTGAAGAGTCTAAATTTGAATTTGGAATTATAAATTTGAATTTGGCCTTCCAAATTGTCATAAAGGATTATTGGTAAGTATAGGAAAATAGCACACATTTTATTCTACAATTTGTTAGCTTGATTTATGCTTTAAACTATCTAGATAGACAATGTATGGGCCTCCATTTGGACTCCGTCTCCGAATCCTAAAAATGTGAGGGGTGGGTCTCTCTCTATAGAATTAAAATACATGGAAACAACATGCCTGTTATTTCATGTATTGGGATGGAGGTAAATGGAGTTGGAGGGCCCTAAGGCAGCAGTGTGTCGGAAGTACGGTAAAAGAGTGAATATATGTTGGTTTTTGATAAGTTAATGATGTTTGTTGCAATATCTAGGGTATCCACTAAAGGAATAGGAAGATAATGTACAATTAACAAGCAAACAGAGGAAAGGGAAGGAATAATAAAAAATATTTAATCAATCCAAAAGTAGACAAGAAAGCTAGAAAAGGTAATGTGGTTCAGGTGGGACAAAGAGTGCATAGTAAGATGTTAGATTTAAACTGTGTATACCTATAATTAAATGTGAGTGGAACAAATGCTTTGATTCAAGCCAAAGATTTTCAGTCTGGATAAAAAAAGTCCAGTGACATGCTGCTTACAAGAGAGGTAACGTAAGTATGAGAATACAAAAAGGGTGAATGTAAAAGGATGGAAAAAGATATATCATCTAAACATTAACTAAAAGAAAGTTGGTATTCTAACTAATATCAGCAGAGTCAATTTTAAGATAAGTAGCATCTTTAGAGATAAAGAAGATTACTTATTAATCATAAAAGTTTTGTTCATCCAGAAGATACAACATTTCTAAATTGCATGCCCTGAATGTCAGTCTTATATGTGAAGAAAAAATATTAATAGAGCTGAAAATAAAAGCAGAGACCTCTTGAATCAAAACCACACACCTCCTTTCAGCAACCGAGAGACAAAAATCAGTAGATTATTGAGCATTTGAATACGTGATTAACAAATGTGACATAGTCGATAGAAGTAAAACTATATCCAATAATTGTGGTATATACATTCTGTTCAACGTACACAAGAAACATTTACCAAAATTGACTATATGCTAGCCCATAAAGAACATTTCATAGGATGCAAATCATACAAAATATGTTCTCTCACCACAGTGGAATTAAGTTAGAAATCAATAACAAAAGGATAAAGGAAAATATCTATATATTTAGGAACTAAGAAATACACTTCTCAACAATTATTTAAAAGCAATATACTTCTAAATAATCTTAAGTAATTCAAAGAAGACACGTTGGAAATTAGAAACTATTTTCTTTTTCTAACCTCTTAAAATGAATGTTAAATAATCAATTTTCAGCTTTTCTTCTTTTCTAATACATGCAGTTAGGTCTGTAATTTTCCTCTAAGATCACCTTTGAGCTGTATCCCACAAATTTTTTGGCTGGTCAAAAAGGGAAGTAATGAATCTTGACCTCTTTACCATGTACAAAAATCAGTTCAGGAGGATTGTGGACCTAAATACGAAAGATAAAATAATAAAGCCTTGACAGGATAACATAAGGAAACAGCTTCATGATCTTGGGATAAGTAAAGGATTTTTAAGCAGGACACTCAAAGCATTAGTCATAAAGGGAAAGATTGATAAACTAGACTATGCGAGAATTAGGAATTTATTAAAAGACTCCACTAAGAAAATTTAAAGGCAATCTGGGAATTGGAGAAGATATTTGAAATACATATAACAAAGAACTCAAAATATATAAAGATTTCCCAAAATTCAATTAGGAAAAAAAGACAACATAATAGCAAAATAGGCCTGAAATATGAATAACATCGCACAAGAATATAGCTAAATGGCCAATAAACATGTGAAAGGTGCTTACCTCACTAGTAAGCAGGGAAATTCTAATAAAAATACAATGAAATATCACTACACCTACCAGAATGACTGAAATTTAAAGGAACAATAATATAATCCTATAGAGCAATGAGAATCCTCATACTCTGCTGGGAGAACCATAAATTGGATAAATATTTTGGAAAAATGTTTGGTGTTATCTACTGCAGTTGAATATATTCATATCCTATAATCCAGCAATTTTACCCAAGAGAAATGTGCACCTGTGCGTAGGGACTGTTCACCAGCAACAGTGCTGTGAGGGTTATTCCAGCAGGCCTAGAGTTAGCCTGAGCTGTTTTGCTAAAGTTCCTGCATCACAACGACCCCTGGTTAAGGCATGAAACCTACTGGCTTATAGTGTTGCTTTGTGACCTCAGGTCTAAGAAGTTTGGGGGTGGGTTGTACCAGCTTATGAGCTTGTTCATTGATAAGAGTGATATTGGTGATTGACAGCTAGTTTGATGAGACTATCAGAGGCTGGTTACAGAGCAGGGATATGCCCATGTGACCTGCAAAATATAAAAAGTAGTGTCCGAGACTCGATTTCGTGCTCGTGGCTCTAAAGTGTTCCATGCCCACAACGGGTCCTGAGAGGAGAGAAGATGTGCCCAGTAAGGTCCTTACAGAGAGAGGATGATCAGAGCCTGGGTCTGGTCCCTCTGGGGCCCTTGCTGTTGTCTGGGATGCATATCCTTGCTTTAATGTTTTTGCCGCATTGATTGAATACTTTTCCTGCGATAAACCGTAGACCTGTGAGCAGTCTCATTTTGGGTCCTGTGAGTCTTCTTTAGAAATCAAACCCTCTCTAACTGCCACTGGTGTTGCAGTAACACTATTTGTAATGGCCAAAAACTGCAAATGACCCAAATGTTCGTCAACAGTGGAATGGGTAAATCAACCAGCTATATTCAGCAAAGTGAATACTAAATAGCAATGAAAATAAATAGCTATGGCTACGTACAAAACAAGGGTGAAGCTTACGTACATAATGCTGAAAGAAGCCGGATACAGAAGAATCCGTACTGCGTGTTTACGTTTGTATGAGGAGTGCAGAAATAGATACATCTAGTCTACGGTGAACACCGGTTACCTTTGGAGGGGAGGAACGGAGCAACGCTCAGGAGAGGGCAACAGAGGGGCTTGCGGGCAAGGCTCCATTTCACGAGCTGGGTTGTGGTTCCGTGGGTGTGTTCAGTTTATGATAATTCATCAAGCTTGTGATTTTCTGTATGACATTATGCTTTTTAAAAAAGCTTATTAAAAAACAAAAGAAATAAACAAACAACGCCACCCCCCCAAAAAGAAACACCAGTGAGTCCACAATGCTGTTTAAAAAGAAAGCGAGAAACACTTGTTTGCCACCATTGGCAGTAACCAGAATATCAACTCCTTAATCTGAAAATTGACAACTAAAAGGGAAAAATTAAGCAATTAGCTGCCTTTCTTGGGCAGATTGTATTTCGGTGTAAATAAATAGCCCTAGTCGGTGAGGGAAAGTTTTTTTTTTTTACAAATTATTCCAAGTTAATAAATGTGGAATTAACGCAGAGTTAGAAATCATCACTGAGTAACCTAATGAAAATAATCCAGGCAAACATCATATTAGTTATCTATTGCTGCGAAACAGATTACCACAAAATGTAGCAGCTTAAAACAACAAATAATTATTCTCTCACAGTTTCCGTGGGTTGGGAATCTGGGTATGACTTAACTGGGAACCCCCGGCTCAGGGTCTCGCACGAGGTGTCGGCTGGGGCTGCGGGTGTCTCGAGGGCTGACTCGGGGAGGACCTGCTTCCAAGCTCACTCCTGTGGCTGTTGGCAGATCTCAGATCCCTGCGGCCTGTCAGCCAGAGATCCGTTACTTGCACGTGGACCTCCCCAAGAGGTACATCAGAAGATGGCAGACGGCCGCCCCGAACGCTAGAAAGTGGATGAGGGAGGGAATTCAAGATAGAACACACAGGCTTTTTGTAACTTCACGTTGAAGTGACATCCCATCCCCTCTGCTGCATTCTATCTGTAGAAGCAGGTCAACAGTCCAGCCCAGACTCAAGGGGAGGGGATTGCACAAGGATGTGAATCCTGGGAGGTGGGACCACTGCGAGCCTTGTAGAGGAAGCCTACCTCAATCGTCAATGGATGGAAGGCACTAGATGAAAGGTTAGAGGGAACTTGAGAATCAGAGGCATCAGGCTGTCACCACCCGAACCCAATGCTCAGTCTTAATCACTAAAAGAGAAGCAACCAGTATTATTTGCCTTCTGCTATGAAGGCACAGCATCCGAAGTACACGGCATCACCTGATATTCTTTCGGAAAAGAGTTGAACCTGAATCTAATCAAGGCTTTAGCAAATATCCAATTTACAGGAAATATGGATGATAGAAGAATAAGTTAAATGACACCATGAGGATACAAATCTGGATTGTGGACCCTTCTATGGGGCAAGGGACCTATTTCTTCAGTAAGTCAATTGCTGGGGAAAAAAAAAATGCGGATTTGCTATAGATGAAAAGAAACTTAAGAGACCTAATCACCAATTACAATCTTCAGACCTTGCTGGGATCCTGATTCAAACAAACCAACTAGAAAAAGACAATTTTGAAACAATAAAGGGAATTTGAATATGAATAAATAGATGGTACTAAGGAATTATTGTTAATTTTCTTAGTATAATAATGGCATCATGGTTATGAAAGAAAATGTTCAAATTTTTCTGAGATACACACCATAGTATGTAAGGATAATATCTTAGACATAAGGCCTATGATTTGCTTCAAAATACCCCAGCAGACACAGGAAACACAACAAAAGGAACAGAGGAAACAAGTGTGGTAAGACTTTAATAAATATTGAATCCAGATGATGGGTACATGTGCAGATTCATTATACGACTTTGTTTATTTTTATGAATGTTTAAACATTTTCATAATAAAAACAGGAAGAAAAGGCATCAGGATTAGATGATTTTATAGCTGAGTTCGAGCTAGACATTAAAGGATAAATATTTCTAATACTATTTAAATAGCTATGGCCTCAAAAAAAAAAGATGTAAACCCCTCAATTTATTTTATGAAGGTAGCATAACTTCTAAAACTCTTTTTGAAGTGCAAAATGCATGAAGAAAAGTTTACAGTAGTAAGTGTATAGCTGGAGGAAGTTTTGCATCCTGGACACGCTTGAGCACACAGATAAAAAGTAGAACAGGCCCGGTGGTCTAGTGGTTAAGTTCCGCACACTCTTCTTTGGTGGCCCAGGTTCAGTTCCCAAGTGTGGACCTACACCACTGTCAGTTGCCATGCTGTCGCGGCAGCTCACATACAAAAAAAGGAAGATTGGCAATAGATATTAGCTCATGGTGAATCTTCCTCAGCAAAAAAAACAAAAAAAAAAAACCCCACAAAAACCCCACAAAATACAAGAATATTATAAGCACCCTAGAAACCTCCCTCATGCCCATTTCTAGTCTCTCCTGCTGAAGAAATCCACTATGCTGTAGCCAAAATCTGATTCAAAAAAATAGTGTAAAAAGTGGAAACTACAGAATAATTTGACTTATAATGAGGCAAATTTTCTAAATAAAATATTAAGAAATAGAATTCAGAAATATCTTTTAACATGTACACAATCATACACATATACTATTAATCATTTAATTGCTCACCATTATTTCTTGCATTCCCTCTGGGTTCTTGTTAAAGTGCTAGCAATTTTTCCAGTAAGGGATTGTGGGTAGTAAACAATTTTGGCTCTTATATGTTTTAAGATGTATTTATTTTGTCCCTATTCTTTAAAGAGAGTTTGGCTGGTTAGAGAATTCCAGATGGATGGTTGTTTCCTGTCAGCATTTTGGGTATGTGACACCATCCCCTTCTGATGTTGTTAACGAACGTTCCACTGTTGACTTGTTATTTCTTTGCATGTCCTCTATCTTCTCTTCTTGTTTTCCCTTCTTGCTTAATGCTCTGCAGTTTTGCTACGGTGCTTCCAGGCATAATTTATTTCTATTTTGTTGCTAATCACTCAGTGGTATGTTTCAATTCAGGGTTTCATGTGTCTCTTCATTTTTGGAATTACTTTATTTCCAAACGTCATCTCATTTCCTTGTTTTTTCTGCAACTTCCATTGGCTATATTTCTGAACTTCTCACTCTACCCTCCATTACCCTTAACTTCTTTCATAATTTCTTCCTTTATCTTCCTGTGCTGTTATTTGGAAGCTTCTCCCTCAGTACTGTCTTCCAAATGAATCCTCTTCAGATATATACCTCAGAATACTAGTAAGGTGATTTATTGAATATTATTATTGTTATTATTTTATTTTTGATGGCTAAATTTTCACTTCCAAGATTTTCAATTTGTTCTGTTCCACATCTTCCTGTTCTTAATTCATAGGTGCCACTTCCCTCCTCATGTCTTTGAGCAGGGAACATATTATTTTTAAGTTCTTGGATTGATCTCTACATCCTCAGATGTTAATTCTTCCATTAGTTGAACTTATCAACTATTTTTATGATAATGGACTTCTTCATGTGCTTAAAATCTGTTTAAGAGCTATTCTTGCTGGGGAGTTCTCCTTCATGTGCGCCTTTCTTTTCCCATGATCCAGGTTTGCCTCCGTCTTGGTCCGGATGGGTTTCACCAGTCCAAACCACGTTTTATATTAGCAGATCAATTTGGATCCTTTGCTCCATATTAATGGTTTAATTTTGGACCTTACATGCATTTTGTAGAGATTCAGTTCTTGTATTCCATGGTGACTCTGCTTCTTTACTTTTCATGTATAAATGTAATGCTCTCAAAAGCAAAATTTACATCCAAGATATTTTAATAAACTTCATATTCAATTTAAGAAGAAGGTAGATCTTTTTGGATAATCAACCTGAGGACAAATGACCAAAGACCTACGAACTAGAGGGGGGAAAATAACATCAGGCATCTGCCGGCTCTCCACAAACCTCTTCTCACTGTTGTATTTTATGTTTACAAACGAGTCGGAAGTAATGTGCTTCCACTTCACGATCCCCTTATAATATTTCCATTCCAGATCCTTCAGATCCATGAATTGTTTTTCTGAAAAGAAGCACATCGTGGTGTTATTTAACCTCCAGTTATTCAGAGATGCTTCATGGACAGAATAAACCTGATGAGCCTGTCTCCTTCTCCCTTCTGGTAGAAAGCTGTTTCTGAAGCTTTATAAACTAAAGGAGAACTATGGTGTTCCTCTCATCTAAAGCCCTCCTCCAAATAGGAAATTGGGTGGGTCTGGCTAACTGGGCTGGAGTGGACCCTGCAGAGCCACAGCAGGTAGAGAGAGTGACTCATTTGGTCCTTGGATACTAATAACGTGCAAGTGGAGAGAGACCCACTGAGCGCTGAGGTCAACAGGGAGAAGAAAAGGATCCTAATGAATGGTTAAAACAAGGAGGAAGACTGATCAGAAGTACATAGATTGTTAGTGTCTTTTCTTCCAAGATGCTGGTGTAAGCCGTGAGGCTAAAAGGGCAGTGGCTTAGCTAGAATTTAGCTGTTTTCCCTACTCTTTCAAGCCCTACCAGCTTAGATGGCCATTAGTAGTTGAAATCCCTTCAAGGAGCCAGTGAACCACAGAAAATCAAGCCAAGATATGCTGTGTATTTCCCTACTCAGCAGCCATTTCCTTTTCCCTTCCTTTTAATTCCATTCAGGGCTAAATAAATTGTAAATTTCAAAAAAAGAAAAGAAAAAGAGCAAGGCCTAAGGCAGGGACTTGAGTGTAAAACCAGAGGCCAAAGAGCCAAGAGGAATGAGAGGAGCGGAAGGAGAGCTGGCTGGAGCAAGCAGGCAGGCAGGCTGCCCTCTCTCTCGTGGGCGACTTCACCGTCCTCCCTGTGTGGTCGTATTTGAGCAGCACACCTATGGCCTGCCTACTGCCCCCGCGCCAGTCGGGCCTCCGCCCCTGGGAAGGGCCTGGGCTTTCCTGCGTCTGCCTGGCAGGAAGTCTTTATACATATTCTGTACATGCCTAAAGTAGGAGGCTGGGACCTGGGAGCATTCCCTGAGTTCATATCTGGCCGTGTGTTCAACAGTCTGTTCCTACGGCCGTTGCCAAGTTTCAGGGGGTTTGACAAGATCTTGGCAGACCTGGCATAGCAAGAACTGGTGATAGAAAGAAGGAAAGGGATATTTGGCAAGAGAAGGCCATAGAGTTGATGATTGTGATCTGTGGCAGACACTATAGGTTACATACCCATTACAATCTTCTGCCCTCCCCTGCTGTAGAGGGTGGAAAGCTAAGATCTCCAGTCATCAGCCTTCCTTGCAGTAAGGGCTGGCTATTGGACACGACTTTGGGCAACGAGATGTATGGAAAAGTCACCGGAGGAGGTGTGTTCTGAGGAAGCTTTGTTTCCCTATCAAAGAGGACAGAAGTAGCCAACGTGGCCCCTTGTCCTGTCCCTCTCTTCCTGCCTGGAATGTGGCCAGAGCACCTGGAGATGAAGGAAACATCTTTTGGCCATGAAGACAAAAGCCGCATACAAGAGATGGTAGAGCCTGGGACCTCGATGACATCAGAAAGCACTGCTCCTTGGGGCCGGCCCTGTGGCCGAGTGGTTAAGTTTGAGCGCTCCATTTTGGCGGCCCAGAGTTTCGCTGGTTTATGGCATGCTCTGCTCGGCAGGCCACGCTGAGGTGGCTTCCCACATGCCACAACTAGAAGGACCCACAACTAAAATATACAACTATGTATTGGGGGCATTTGGGGAGAGAAAGCAGAAAAAAAAAAAAAGATTGGCAACCTTTGTTAGCTCAAGTGCCAATCTTTAAAAAAAAGCACTGCCCCGGCCCTTGTTTGCCCACCTCCAGACTTCTCATTATGTGAGAAAAATAACCCCCTTATTTGGTTTTTCTTGATTTTTGGTCAAACACATCCCTAACCGCATGGTCCTACCAGACTTAGCCTAAACAAGAGAAGCTCATACAACAGGAGAAGAACAAAATGGCAGCAGCCACTCCCTTTCCCTCCCATAGTGCTTGGTGCTAGTAAGGATATGTTCTCTAATATTCCTTGGTATACATGCTAGGAGTCCTAAAGTTCCTCTGGACTGAGAATACTTTAAGGACTGGCTGTCATTACTATAAATGATAGTAATGCTGGACAACAGTGACAGTAACAGATGGATTGTTGCAATACCAATTAAATCTAAGGAATTATGGATATTCCTCATACAGATGCCTACCCAGCTTCATGCGTATTCCTTGAATAGACAGGACACGTCCCAGAAATTCTACCTCCGGGATCTTAGGAAATGAAGTCATGGAGGCAGAGAAGAAACTTCAACACAGAGTCTGGGAGGACGCACGAGAGGGGCATGGTAGGTAGCAGTCCATGCATTAAGAGGAAAGGACAACTTGGCCCCTGTGGTTGGCAAAGCCATAAATGTTCAAGACCTATCAAACATCCAAAGATTTTAGCACTTCTTCAAAAGCCACATCAAAATTGACACACCACTGGCTTTTTGCCAGTTCTTTTTATTGATTCTCAACACTTTCCCTGCTTTTTCCTCTCTGGTCTCAGACTTTACCTGTGTACTTTTGTGGATTACCTAGGCCATTCCTACAAGTGCCCTAATTGCAACTTCTGCCTTGGCTCCAAAACACATCAAGTAGGAGACTATCAAAGGAAGCCGAAACCAGCACTGGCTTTGTCAAGACATCCATGTAGGGAGTTACAGCAAAGATTCTTCCAGCATCTTGGACCAAATATGATCAGAGTAATCAATCTATTCCTTTAAATTTATTCCTTCTGTCTCTCCTACTACTTCTAATACAAAAATGGTGGCGTCAAAATATTTGCTGTGCAAATAGTCTTGAGTCAAGAACCTACTCCAGAGGGACTCAATATTTTATACCATTGCTTTAATCTATTTTTTATAGCTACACAGAATGATAAAAATATTACTTCCTTCAAATTGCAAAAGGCAAATTGAGACCTTAAGGATAAGACACTCCCTCCTCATTAAAACTTACCATCATTTATATATTTTTAACTTACTCTGTATGGCCTTTGGCCTTTTATGTGTACCTCTCAATTAAAGAATCAGAAATGAAGGCAGTTTCCTTCTGTTGTTTGTAGAGAGGTAACAATGAGGAAAGGGGACAGGTCATGAAAAAATATCTGAAAAACCCTCAGTTGAAGTAAAGCCAAGATACTTAAGATTCAGTAAATACTTGACTAACTTCATGAAACGAGAAGCAAATGGTTATGAGAGTCCAGTTTAACCAGCTCATTTTATAAAGGTAAGTTTAAGTGTCATGTCTAAATAATGTCAGTTTTCAGGAGTGGATCTGTGATTTGACCCTGGACCGTTTGGTTCTCTGTTCTCTAGTTCTTGCGGCCACTGTAGGCCGCGAACCCCAGAACTGCAAGATTCCCCTCGGTCAATATTTGACTATTTCAGCTCTAGAAATCTAGGTAAATTGTGCAGTAAGATTTCCACTCATTTTCTCCCACATGGCCTCATCTGTTTACCTGAATTAGCAAATACGTATTTAGGAATGCTGTCTTCAAGGACAAGCTTTTCTGGCTTGATGTAGGAGATGCCCAGCCTGCACAGTATCCTGCTGCTCTGACTCTTCTTCTGTATGTTGACCAGTGATGCTTTGGAGTGATCCATGAGAATCTCATAAGGAAAAGTGTGCGCGGGAGGAGGGATCCCACACTGGGCGAGTCTCTGCTGGGACCTGGTGAGCCTCTCCATTGGGGAGAGCGAGCTGGTCAACAAGCTGCGGTGCAGGAGTTCAGTCATAGATTCTGGTTTCTCCTCTTCTTTTCTAACCACTTTGCACATGGAAACAGGTTGGGGGGCTTTTCCTCTCACATCGGTGCCACTGGTGAATGACATGGCATTCAGGTTTTGACTAAGTATTTTCTGTGCTTCCCTAGGTGAAATACTGTGAATTTTTAGGAGATTCGATTTCTTGCTCTCTCTATTAAAATCCTTTACCAATGCATACAATTCTGGCAGCTGTGGGAGAAAACGTGGGAAGTCATGAGATTGATGAAAATGTAATCGTCCCGCAGACCCACAAAACCTAGAACAAATAGGATAACAAATAACCATGAACACAGAAACATCTAATTTTGGAAGATATCTTTGCCTAACTAAACCAAGTCTATATTGGAAATGTGGAACAGAGACCAGAAGGTCAAATCTCAGATTCCTTCTCAAAAAGGTGCATCATTTAGACACATCACTTAAACCCTCCACGATAAAATGAGCCAGTTAGACTTGCTCAGAAGTCTTTAAGATCTTTCCAGCTGTAAAATTCTGTGAGTGACCATGGAGAGAGAGAGAGCTTTTGGGGGTGGCGACCTTTATTTTGAGTAAGGATACATTTATTTAAGGAAGAAAGGGAGCCAGATAATCCAGCTATCAAAGCTTCATCCAGGGTCCAAAGGATTCAGAATGCTCTGGAATGCAGTGCAAAGGAAGCTGCAATAACAGTCCTTATTCACTGGAATGTTTTACCAAAGCAAATAGTTACATTTGTAGAGTGTCTGGGAATAGTTGTTGGCAGAAAAGACAATAAGTATTTCCTCGGAGTGCCCTTCTCTATCTAAAGCCCTGTACTGAAGGAATAAAATTTGATTTTCTAGAGCATCCTGCCTACTAATCCCACCATTACTAAGAGGTTTCTTAGGCCATTAAATTGGATGGACAAAGGGACCAAAGTGAGAGCCCAGACTCGGGTCTCTTAGCCCAAGGCAGCCTCCTGTCAGTCCTAGTTGGCTCTCCTGCAAGAGCAATGAACAATTGTGGGCTGCGGGTGGCGGGTGGCGAGCGGCTCTTTCCCGTGCAGAACCGTTATCGTGAAAACAGCTTAGCTCTCATGCTCGCCTGCCCACAGAGGAGCTGCATTTTGCTGTAACACAAAAGGTAAGTCACTGAAGCAAAATGTTTGTGTTCCCTATGGCCAGGTATGTCACTGGGTGTTCAATAGTTCAAATTTTTACAATTCTTGAATGTAAAGTTTCCTGTGTACACTATCACAGAATTCTAAATACGTACTGAACACGTGGGAGACTCTGCAGCCACATCGTCTTTCGTGGGATCAGTGTCTCCACTGAGGAACATCGTGCTGGGATTTTATTCTCTAATTCCTAAAAAAGCAACATAGGGGAGGAAGAAATGAAAGATCAAAAATCGGATAAAATACAAAGGGAGTAGTAACACTGTTTAAATCTTCAGAACTTTGTAAGTGGGACACTTTTCAACTTCGGTACCACTTTGAGTTTTCTTTTATTTTCTCCTTACTCTAGGTCTGCCAGATTAATCACATTTCAACCAAAAATTTTCTCTGAAATACCTCAAATTCCTTACCCAGGAAAAGTAATTTTTATTCAGGAGAAAAAGGCTAATAATAGTAATAACAACAATTAACATTTTGAAATAATTTGCTTTGGGGCAGATAGACTAGTAGGCATTTTACTGACAGAATTTTGTTTAATCCCCTTGTGAGAGATTAAAAATGGCCACAGAATTCTTATAGTTGGTCCCATCAATAAGTGGCAGTTAAGTCTGTTCCCACATTTGACTCTAGGTTGGCCTTATGCTTGGCTTTGACTGACAGCATGCTGTAAGGACATGTCAATGCCACAGCCTAGGCGTTAAGAAGCTTTGCAGCTTAACCTCACACTCTTGGAAGCTTGAGCCACCATGTAAAGAGGTCCAGCTACCCTTCTCGAGAGACCATGTGGAGATGAGAGCCAGCACCAACCACACGACACATAATGAGGCCATCTTGGATCACCCAGCCCCATTCCAGCCTCCAGATGACTTAAGCTTCATAAACAACTCCAGAGGATCCCAAACGGAGAAGAAGAGCCACGCAGATGAGCCAGCCAACTCCAAAATTATGGCAAATAATGAATTATAGTTGTTTCCAGACACTAGGTTTTGCATGGATTCTTATGCAGCAATAAATAACAGACAAACCCTGGAATATTTCACATTCTTGATTTAATTTATTCCAGTGAAACCTCCGTTGGTAGGTAGGGAATTATGAGGGAAAACATCTTCCTGGGTACCTCTGTATCTTGATTGGGAGCTGCTGTAACTGGGATGAGTGTCAGACATGAACCAAAAATACTCATTTGGTTTTTGGGATGAAGCAAAAACAGGTTCTTTCTCCTTTCCAGCTGAAGTAGAAAAACCCAGAATGAATTACATATTTAAATATACATATATTTGAATATATAGTCATTCTGAGATATTTATCTTACTGCTTATTATTTGAAGATATATATCCAAATATATTGTTGTCACTACAGAGTCTACTATATCAATATATAGGACAAAAAAAGCAACAGAAGGCATCACAACCACCCCCTTTCCTACATTTGGGCAGTGGCTTCGCAGACATCCTCGATCAGTGAAAATAAGACCTGATTGTGTTTTCCTTCAATAATTCCTGCAAACGAAAATATTCCTCAACTGCTTCATCTAAAACCTCAGTGTCTTCTGGTCACCATGACTGTGTCTTCCAGGGGTGTCGTCCACCACCGGAGGGCTGCCTTCTCCCACTACCAGCGGACAAGATGTTTTTTTCCCCTCTCCTCCCCTTAGAGGAGGGCTAGATGTAACCTCCCACCACACCCACGTGCTGGACCTTAATCAGGGCGTCGACTCAGAGAAGTGATTCCCAACTTCAGCAGCCAATCTTGCAACTCTATGTACATATATTCAAAGCAACATCTAAGAAATTTACTCATTTCCTTACAAGGAGATTGACAACAGGGTGTGGGGTACAGGCGAGCACAGATTCTTGCTGATTCTCTTTGCTGAACTATTCTTGAGGACATCTCTCTCTCACTGAAGGGTTGGGATTCAGAATGCTGAGCAGAACATTAGCCAAAGATGCTTTGATCCACTTTAATGCTGACTTCACTAACATAGTTACTGCACGAAGGGTGTGATATACTCGCTGCGAGACAAAGCCCATCGTCAAGAGGCAAGATGGTGGCAGAGAAAGGGCATTTATTACAGCTTGCTAGTGAGGGGGCAATGGGTGACTAATGTTGGAAAGAACCATCTTAAGTGGGGCACAAAATCTTGAGGCAGTTATATAGGCTGGTGGGTTACAGGGGAGGGAGTTAGGAATGTTGACCCTCTGGTGTTACAGACTGGGGGTGGCCAGATAGACTCTCTGTCGGAGGGTTGTCACATTCCTAAGGAACTCAAAGAACAAAGTTATCGTCTTATTGCAGATGGGAGGTACCTGCACAAGCAGGGGTCACAAAATCTACACAGCAGGTGAGTCTCCTGGAGGGTGAGTGTCCAGCTGGGTTAGTGAGTCAGAGGTCATTCAAAGTTACGATATGGTTTCTTCTCTACAATATGACTTCCCTTATGTCAACCTTGTGTTGAGCTGGTATCAACATACTGTCACCCTGGCCCTTAAGTTGAGCCAAGCCAATGCCTAAACCTGAATTAGCCCTTAAACCAACCTCTCATGGAGAGTGTTCCTGGAGAAATCATGAAAATATAGCCAATGGGCCTGTTCCAGATTCATGCAACTTGAGGGAGCTCTTGCAGGGGCTTTTCAGCATGTCCACTCATCTGTTATTCCTGGGAATTCCTGCAGTAAATTCTGATTTTAGGAAGAGCAAAGGCATCTCACATGAACTCCCTTGGGTGTATCTTCTCCATTTGCATCCGCACACAACTGCTTGCTCTCTGCTCACCTGAGAGTAGCTCTCTCTCTCCACCAGCCAGGGAGGCGCTATCTTTATAACGGCCACGTTAAAGTGTGGCTTCAACAGTATTTATCCTATTCACACAATTAAATCCGTTCTTTTTTGCCCAGGGAGCCTGACTGTCTGTTGTGCCACCAGGTGGCGCTCATCGGCAGTTTGCCTCCGCTATTTCCCACAACTTTTTCTCTAACCATGCGCTCTCTCTCTCTCCTTCCTTTCTTTCTTCTCTGAATTTTTGGCTGTACTTTATGGAAGGCAGCATTAATTCAGCAAATACTTACTGTTTTTGATGTGTCAGGTACTGGACTAGGCACCAAGGAATACAAAGACAAAGGAAGTGATTGCGTGTATAAACAAGGAACGATATCTAAAACATCTGAAACATTTATTAAACACCTGTTATGATCCAGGCACTGTTTAAGTCCTTGGAACGCACTGGCAAACAAAGATTTCTGCTCTTGTGAAGTTTACATGCCAGCAAGGGGAGACATACAGAAAATCCTACATATAGTAAGTGAATTAATGTTTGAAAGTCATAAGTGCTATGAAGGAAGTAAAATATATCAGAGTCAAGGGGATTGGGAATGCGGAGGGGCGTGTGTGTGGCTTTAAACAGGGCCGTCAGGGTGACCTCAGTGGGAAGGGGCATTTGAGGAAAGACTTGTAGGAGGTGTGAGCCCTAAGGATGACTGGAGAGAGCCTACCAGGCAGAGGGACCAGCAGGGCAGAGGCCACATGCTTGGTAGGCTGGAGGAAGAGTGGGTTTCAAGAGAACGGAGGAAGTGAGGGGCTGAGGGCAGAGAGGAGGAGAGGAGGCCCTGTCTCCTTAGGGCCTTGTGGGCACACATAGGACCTTGGGAACTCGGGAGCCATGACAGGCTCTGTGACAGGTTCTGACTGACACTTTTAAAGGAGCGCTCTGGTGGCCATGTGGAGAAACACATTGTTAAAATATGGTCTCTATGTACTTATTCGTGGGGATTGTCCAACGTGATCCCATACATATAAAAAATCAAGCCATTTACGTAGTTTGTATAGGAGAGGAAACATATTTGTATATAAAGTGACTATATAGGGTTGTCAATTCATAGCAAATTGTCCGGAGGGACACGTAGCAAATTTAACAGAGGGCGTGCACAGGAAGGGGAGGGAGGGGGGAACATTTCCTCCTTACTATCTATCCACGTTTTGCATTTTGTTTGGGTGATTTTTGCAGTAAGCTTGTCTTCCTTTTGTAATGTCAAACAACACCATTAGAGGCATAGCAGACTTCCTGTTTTGAGGAGAAAGTAGTCCACACAGGAAGAAAGACAGCCCCACGTCTTCTCCAGCTGTAGCGTTAACTCTGCTCAGTCACGTGGTTGCCCTTTTGAGGATACTGAAGCAAGATCTGAAACAATTCCTACTCTCAACAATATATTTTGATACAGAAAACAGGGCATAGGGAGTTTTCTCTCTCCCTCTTGAACCCAACATAATGACAGTAAAGGAATTAGTTAAGTGTATACCTAATACTACAATAAAAGAACGAAGAACACTCTCTAAGGCGGGCCAGGGAGAGGTCTCCAGAGGGGAGGTTTGCTTTTGCTCACACCAGCTCTCCAACACGTGTATGGCAAGGGGGCGAATGTGCCGAGAGGAAACCAGGAGGCGGGAAGCAGCTGGCTGTTCTGAGTTCATTGAGAGTGGCCGTTCAGGGCTCCCAACCCTCATGGCCTGTGCTGTCCTGCGGTCTGTGTTCTCCAGGCCCCTTGGACCCTTGACCACGCTCCCACAGGCCCTGGTAGCCTGACATGGTTATAAAAACCACCTTTAGCCAGGCACATTCCTGAATCCAACACCCATGTTCCAGGTTCACTGAGAAGCATGCGCCCAGCAGCATTGCCCCACATCATCCTCAGATTTTGTGATCATAACTGGTCCTCACACCACATTACAACTACTGTATCATCTCAACTTCACATCTTAACATCTCTGAAAAGCAGGATGTGTTTTACAGTCAATGGGGCTCTCACAGTTGATGTCGACCCAGTGGCTGTCAAGACTATTCTCAGGGACTGTGTTTGTGTGAAAGTGGACAGTCGATACCGCATCCATTCGCCATGGATGCATGCATCATGGGGGCACAGGGTGAGTTTAACTGCTGATTGGAGTGTTTCTAAGTGTGTGCCATCCAAGACAGTAGCTGCCAGCTGTGTGTGGCTATTGAGCACTTGAAATGTGACTCGTCCGAACTGAGATGTGCTCTAGCATGAAAAAAGAACCAAAATATTACATTAAGCATTTGTATATTGATTACATGCTGACAGTATACTATTTTAGATATATTGGGTTGAATAAAATATGTTAAAATTAATTTTGCCTGTTTCTTTAACTTTTTATAATGTGGCTACTAGAAAACTTAAAATCACATAAATGACTTGCATTCTATTCTGTTGGACAAGGCTGATCTAAAAGATGGCACCAATTTAGCAATGATCACAGGCAGGCGCTGAACAGAGCAGTAGATAAAAAATAAAAGTCAATGTCTAAATAGCACAAAAGAGCTCTTCTTCTCTAAAAGAAAGTAGGTATAAAATAAAAACTATACATGATAACAAAGCATGTCAGAGTTTAAATGGGAGTGAATAATTGTGAAATTCCATGTGCCCCAAACCCAGCCTAAGGAAAGAATGTCGGGAACTGAAGCCCTTGGAACACCCTCCACTCCCTCTCTCTCCCTTCCCCTCCCAGAGAAAGTCGCCCTCCTGAATTCTGTGTGCAGCATTCTCTCTCTTTTTTTTCCAGCTTTCTTACATGTGTATGTATCCCCAAATGACATATTGTCTTTTTAGTATGCATTTGAACTTTATGTAAAGCATCCTATAGATTTCTCTTTCAATTTACTTCTCTCTTTTAAAAATGTTATTTGTGGTGAAATACACATAACGTAAAATTTACCATCACAACCATTTCTAAGTGTACACTTCAGTGGTGTTAAGCAAATTCACACTGTTGTGCAACCCTTCTCCAGAAATTTTTCGTCTTGCGAAACTGAAACTCTGTACTCATTGAACAACTATTTCCCATTTCCCCCTCCCCGTAACCCTGGCAACGACCACTCTACTTCCTGTCTCTATGAGTTTATCTACTCTAGGTAGCTCATATAATTGGAATCATATGATATTTGTCCTTTTGTGACTGGCTTATTTCACTTAGTGCAGTGTCCTCAAGGTTAATCCCTGTTGTAGCATGTGTCAGCATTGCCATCCTTTTTGAAGGCTGAGTAATATTCCATTACACGCACATACCACGTTGTGTTTATCCCGTCATCTGCTGATGACGTAGGGTGGCTTCCGCCTCTTGGCTATTGCGACTAGTGCTGCTATGGACCTGGGTGTACACTTCCTCTTCTTAGTTCAGTTGGAACTGGGTTTTCTTTTACTCACCTCCAAATCATTCTTATTGATCTATTCAGGGGATCATCACACACCTCTAGGGAAAAGAGAATACTTACAACAAATCTTAAAGCAAACATATGACCTAAAAATGATTCTTTCCTATGAGCAAGAGGAGATGCTCTTATTCTTATCTTTCCCCCAGGAATTTTGATGATACTTGGGTTCTAGGTCTGTTTCCACATGCAACAGGTTTCTTTTGACCATATTTCTATTAAATTAGAAAACCTCAGCTCCCAGGTATAGGTCTCCTGAAATGACAGCTAGTGTTTGGTGGCGCTGTCAGGCAGTTTACGACCTTAGAGCAAACAAGGGGTGATTTCCCTCTCCAGGTCCCTCCCGCCACCATGTCACGTCCAGGAGCTGGACAGCTGACCGCCCAGTGGAGGAGAGCACAGCAAACAGTGAGTGAATCCGCGCTCCAGCTGCACGGGACTCTGGGAAGTATGTCTTCAGGGTCTCTTGCAGCATTTGGACAAAATTTTAAAGGACACTAAATTACACCCACTAATTTCTTTCACTGAGGGGTGAGAGAACACATCAAAGCTTGGGAAAAAGTAAAACACTCAGCAATTCAGTCAATTATTCTGTAACTGGGGCTGCGTGCTTCACATGAAAAGTCTGGATTTTTCAGGCAGGATGTGCAGGTTTAGGCTACGCACAGTACTCATTTCTTTTTGGCAAAGACACACCTCATATTGGCATTATTAACACATAGAAGACTTTAAAAAAAATTTCTTTCCCATTTCAAAACTTTTCTTTCAACATCTAGTATTTTTGAATGTGAAAACAGGGTATAAAATGTATATGTATCATTTAAGGAGTAAAAATAAAAGGAAGCAGCATGTACTTACCACCAGGTTAAAAACAGAACATTTCCAGCCCCTTGGAACCCACGGATGGCCCGCTCCAAATGAACCCTCTCCCTCCGACCATCAGCCTCACTTCTGTGGACATGATTCTCCTGTTTTTCTCTGTGGTTTTACCATAAACTTGTGCATCTCTGACACAATAGTATTTCCTTTTGGAAACGGAATGGTAAGCCACCTGTGAAAGGAAAGAACAGTGTGGTCCAGTTGGATGCCGCTCCAGTGGGAGGCGACCTGTGCAGGTCCCTGTCTTCCCTGCGAGTTTCAAGGGTCTCTGTAGGGAAGTCAAAGGTAACGTGGGGACCGAGTCCTGGGTAACGAAGAGATGCTCCAGTGGAGGCATCCGGTGGGACCATGAGGTGGGCCAGCAGAGGCAATCCAGCAAAAATACGGGCAGGGCAGGGTGCTGCTCAATAATTTTTGTATTTTCTGCAATTTTCACTCACAATGGCTGACCTTCGGATCTCAGGAGAGGGTGAAACAGAACTTCTGTTTGGGGTGCAGTAAATACCTCTGTATGTCTTTTCTCTCTTGTTTTTTTTTTTATTTTTTTATTAAGGTTATAAAAGTTAACATCCTTGTGAAATTACAGTTGTACATTATTATTAGTCATGTTGTAGGTACACCACTTGACCCCTAGTGCCCTCCCCCCACTCCCCTTTCCCCTGGTAACCACCGATCAGTTCTCTTTGTCCATATGTTAACTACCACCGATGAGTGGAGTCATACAGAGTTTGTCTTTCTCTGTCTGGCTTATTTCACTCAACATAATACCCTCAAGGTCTATCCATGTTGTCAATGGGACAACTTTGTCCTTTTTTATGGCTGTCTCTCTTGTTTTTTATTGGTTGTCTTTCCCATCTACTTTTTTGAGCATTTTCCTCTCCCTTATCTCCTAACTCTTCTATATTTTTGTGGCTATACATTTAGTTTGTGAGAGCTGTTCTTATTCTGAGCGTTCCTTTCCACGTCATTGTTTCCTGTTTCATGATGCAATAGCTTCTCGTTTCCCTCTGAAGATGCTATGGCTGTTCTTCTTTTTTCTCCAGTTGAGTTCATAATAGTTTACATCATTGTGAAATTTCAGTTGTACATTATTTCTTGATTGTCACCACAAAAGTGCTCCCCTTCACCCCCTGTGCCCACCCCCCACCCCCTTCCCCTGGTAACCACTGAACTGTTTTCTTTGCCTATGTGTTTGTTTATCTTCCACATATGTGTGAAATCACATGGTGTTTGTCTTTCTCAGTCTGGCTTATTTCGCTTAGCATAATTCCCCCTAGGTCCATCCATGTTGTTGCAAATGGGATGATTTTATTTTTTCTGTGGCTGAGTCGTATTCCACTGTATGTATATACATATCACATCTTTATCCAATCATTGGTCGATGGGCACTTGGATTGTTTCCATGTCTTGGCTATTGTGAATAGTGCTGCAATGAACATAGGGGTACATGGGTTACTTTGGATTGTTGATTTCAAGTTGCTTGGGTAGATACCCAGTAGTGGGAGAGCTGGGTCATATGGTATTTCTATTTTTACTTTTTAGGACTCTCCATATTGTTTTCCATAGTGGCTGCACCAGTTTGCATTTCCACCAGCAGTGTATGAGGGTTCCCTTCTCTCCACACCCTCTCCAACATGTGTTATTTTTAGTCTTAGTGATTATAGACATTGTAACAGGCATAAGGTCATATCTAAGTATAGTTTTGATTTGTGTTTCTCTGATGACTAGTGATGTTGAACATCTTTTCATGTGTTTATTGGCCATTTGTATATCTTCTTTGGAAAAATGTCTGTTCATATCCTCTGCCCATTTTTCGATGGGGCTGTTTCTTTTTTCGTTGTTCAGTTGCCCTTATATAATATGGAGATTAACCCCTTGTCAGAGATATGATTTGCAAATATTTTCTCCCTATTAGTGGGTTGTATTTTTGTTTTGATCCTAGTTTCTTTTGCCTTGCAGAAGCTCTTTAGTCTGATGAAGTCCTACTTGTTTATTTTTTCTTTTGTTTCCCTTGTCTGAGAAGACATGGTATTCGAAAAGATCCTTTTAAGTTTTATGTCAAAGAATGTGCTACCTATATTATCCTCCAGGAGTCTTATGGTTTCAGGACTTGTCTTCAAGTCTTTGATCCATTTTGATTTTATTTTTGTGTATGGTGTGAGATAATGGTCTACTTTCATTCTTTCGTGTGTAGCTGTCCAGCTTTCCCAACATCATTTATTGAAAAGACTATTTTTTCTACACTGTGTGTTCTTGGCACCATTGTTGAAGATTAGGGTTCTGTAGATGTGCAGTTTTATTTCTGGGCTTTCAGTTCTGTTCCATTGATCTGTGTTCCTGTTTTTGTACCAGTACCATTCTGTTTTGATTACTATAGCTTTGTAGTACATTTTGAAGTCAGGGATTGTGATGCTTCCAGCTTTCTTCTTTTTTCTCAGGATTGCTTTAGCTATTTGGGGTCTTTGGTTGCCCCATGTGAATTTTAGGATCCTTGGCTCCATTTCCCTGAAGAATGTCATTGGGATTCTGATTGGGATTGCATTGAATTTGTAGATTGGGTAGTATGGACATTTTAACTATGTTTATTCTTCCAATGCATGTGCATGGAATCTCTTTCCATCTCTTTATGTCATTATCTATTTCTTTCAATAATGTCTTATAGTTTTCATTGTACAAGTCCTTCACCTTCTGGGTTAAATTTATTCCTAGACACTTTATTCTTTTTGTTGCAATTGTAAATGGAATTGTAGTCTTGAGTTCTCTTTCTATAAGTTCGTTATTAGAGTATAGAAATGCAACTGATTTTTCTAAGTTGATTTTGTACCCTGCAACTTTACCGTAGTTGTTAATTATTTTCTAACAGTTTTCCAATGGATTCTTTAGGGTTTTCCATATATAAGATCATGTCATCTGCAAAGAGCAAGAGTTTCACTTCTTCACTCCCTGTCTGGATTCCTTTTATTCCTTTCTCTTGCCTAATTGCTCTGGCCAGGACCTCCAGTACTGTGTTGAATAAGAGTGGTGATAGTGGGTATCCTTGTCTTGTGCCTGTTTTCAGCAGGATGGCATTCAGTTTTTGCCCATTGAGTATGATGTTGGCTGTGGGTTTGTCATATATGGCCTTTATTTTGTTGAGGTAATTTCCTTCTATCCCCATTTTGTTAAGAGTTTTTAGCATGAATGGCTGTTGGATCTTGTTAAATGTTTTCTCTGCATCTATTGAGATGATTATGTAGTTTTTGTTCCTCATTTTGTTAATGTGGTGTATCACATAGATTGATTTGCGGATGTTGAACCATCCCTGTGTCCCTGGAATAAATCCTACTTGATCATGATGTGTAATCTTTTTGATGTATTGTTGTATTCCGGTTGCCAATATTTTGTTGAGGATTTTTGCATCTATGTTCATCAGTGATATTGGCCTGTAGTTTTCCTTTTTGTGTTGTCCTTGTCAGGCTTTGGTATCAGAGTGATGTTGGCCTCATAGAATGTGTTAGGAAGCGTTTCATCTTTCCTAATTTTTTGGAATAGCTTGAGATGGATAGGTATTAAACCCTCTCTGAAAGTTTGGTAGAATTCTCCAGAGAAGCCATCTGGTCCTGGGCTTTTATTTTTGGGGATGCTTTTGATTACTGTTTCAATCGCTTTCCTTGTGATTGGTCTATTCAGATTATCTATTTCTTCTTGATTCAGCTTTGGGAGGTTGTAAGAGCCTAAGAATTTATCCATTTCCTCTAGATTTCCTAGAGATGCCATTTTGTTGGCATATAGCTTTTCATAGTATTCTCTTATAATCCTTTGTATTTCTGTGGTATCCATTGTCATTTCTCTCATTTCTAATTTTATTTATCTGAGCTTTCTCTCTTTTTTTCTTTGTAAGTCTGGCTAGGAATTTGTCAATTTGTTTATCTTCTCAAAGAACCAGCTCTGTGTTTCATTGATTCTTTCTACTGCCTTTTTTGTTTCAATTGCATTTATTTCTGCTCTGATTTTTGTTATTTCTCTCCTTCTGCTGACTTTGGGCTTCGTTTGTTCTTCTTTTTCTAATTCAGTTAGGTGTAGTTTGAGATTGCTTGTTTGGGATTTTTCTTGTTTGTTAAGGTGAGCCTGTATCGCGATGAATTTCCCTCTTAGGACCGCTTTTGCTGCATCCTGTATGAGTTGGTATGGTATGTTTTCATTTTCATTTGTCTCCAGATATTTTTTGATTTCTCCTTTAATTTCTTCAATGACCCATTGGTTGTTCAATAGCATGTTGTTTAGTCTCCACATCTTTGTCCCTTTCTCAGCTTTTTTCTTGTAATTAATTTCTAGTTTCATAGCATTGTGATTGGAAAAGATGCTTGTTATTATTTCAATCTTCTTAAATTTATGGAGGCTTGCCTTGTTTCCCAACATATGGTCTATCCTTAAAAATGTTCTGTGTGCACTTGAGAAGAATGTATATTCTGCTGTTTTTGGATGGAGTGTTCTGTATACATCTATTGAGTCCAACTGTTCTAGCTTTTCATTTAATTCCACTGTTTCCTTGTTGATTTTCTGTCTGGATGATCTATCCATTGATGTGAGTGGAATGTTGAGGTCCCCTACTATTACTGTGGTATTATTAATGTCTTCTTTTAGGTTTGTTAATAGTTGCTTCATGTACTTTGGTGTTCCTGTGTTGGGTGCACAGATATTTACAAGTGTTATGTCTTCTTGGTGGAGTATATCTTGGATCATTATATACTGCCCCTCTTTGTGTCTCTTTACCTCTCTTATCTTGAAGTCCACTTTGTCTAAGTATTGAAATACCTGCTTTCTTTTGTTTGCCATTAGCTTGACGCGTTGTCTTCCATCCCTTCACTCTGAGCCTGTGTTTGTCACTGGAGCTGAGATGTGTTTCCTGGAGACGGCATATTGTTGGGTCTTGTTCTTTAATCTGTCTCACCACCTTGTGTCTTTACATTGGAGAATTCAGTCCATTTATGTTTAGGGTGATTACCGATATATGAGGGCTTAATGCTGCCATTTTATCACTCGTTTTCTGGTTCTCTTGCATTTCCTTTGTTTGTCATCCCATGTGTTTTGGTCTACCAGTTGACTTATGTAGTTTTTTATGTTGTGTTTCTTTGTTTTCTCCTTATTTATTATTTGTGTCTCTGTTCTGCTTTTTTGTTTGGTGGTTATCAC